ATTATGTTTTTTTCAGTGGTAGGCGATATTCCGTGAGACAATGAGACATATGTGGTGACTTCAACAATATCGAGATGTGCACACGATCTTTCGTAGGTGCTCATAAGGGTAGGGTTTGCGTCACGTATGTTTATAGGGGTGAGTGTGAGTGCGTCTTTGGCGTATGTATGCATACTTGTGTAATTCATAACAAAAAGAACCTGTTTGGTAGAGGAGCTGACAAACAGCTTTGTGAAGCTATTCCATAAGTTCTACCAAACATGCCCTTATATGACAATCCATTTGTACTAAAATATATGAATCTTGTAATTAATATTTTTATTCATAAACAATATTAAATAAAAAAAATTAACTACAAAATTTAAGATCTCGTCCAGCACTACAACTTTGATATGGGACATGTCTCCGTCCAAGGTCGTTTGAAACAAAATAAAAAATTCAAAATTCGAAACCTGTGAACTTAACATATATATATATATATATATATATATATATATGGGCCTCCAAACGATATCGAATAAAATTTTCATCAGTTACAAAGTTTTAGATCTCGAATAAAATTTTCTACAAATTTTGTCTTCATTAGATAGAGTTCATTTGAAAAAGTTATGAATTTGTCTGTGCTACAGCTATTTTTAAGGTGGTTGACTAATTGAACCTCCTTTAAAAATAGATTTCTAGAAACCACCTATTTTCCGAGGCGGTTGACATAAACAACCGTTTAGGAGCGATTCTTTTAAGCCGATCGTCCATAAAAATAAATATATTTTCAGTGATGGTTTACTTAATAGAACTGCTTCTAAAAATACATTTCCAGGGGTGATTGATAAGCTTAGAGTGTTAGAGTGATGGTTTACTTAATAGAACTGCTTCTAAAAATACATTTCCAGGGGTGATTGACAAGCTTAGAGTGTTTCCGGAGCTAGTAACAAACGGTTTGCTGTGTAAACCATCTTTGAAAGAAGTAGTACGAGGCTCTTATATATAAAAATCATTTCTGTACCTGTATGCATGAGCAGAGCTTCACCAACAGGTGGGCAAACGTCACAGTCAGTGGGGTTCAGTCACGGCTGAACCATAAGGCTCTGATTGGAACTACAAGCTGACAATTTATTCCATCTCATGACTGCGAGAAGCAGATTCCGCTTATGGTGCGCACTCTTCCATCCTTGCAGATATAAGCGACAAGGGTGCTCTTACCGACTCTGCCAGGACCAACAATAGGCAGGACCTCCAGTTCTCCAGCACCATAAGAATGTATGTGCAACAGGAAATTGAGGGCATAAGCATTCTATTTCCACCTGACGCCCAAACAAGCAATTATCCAGCAGGAGATGCTTGCTATAAGGCCGGCTGTAAATCATGAAGAGAACCAGTACATCCACATCTTTAATCATGGTGCTCCATACATCAAGCGCCTCTCGTACTTGTCCCAAGCTCTGCATACTTCTACCAGAGAAATTGGGACCCACATGTGCAGAGTTTGCTTTGAACAGAGACACACAGCGACTCACGGTTTGATGTTTGTCATCCTCAACAACGTGAGGCTGGTACTTGAAATCGTCATGCAAATCAAATAAATGACCGGAGGCAAAAAAGAACTCTTTTGGTTTTATATAAGTTATTATAAAAGGACATATCATTTGTTCATTTCTGAAAAGGGGAAGAGGGAATACAAAATATGAGTCAAACAAGCAATTATACAGATTTTTTGTTTTAAAATCACAGAGTTCGATCAAGAAAAAAAACACAGAGTTCATGCAGTATGTTCTTTTAGCACTAAGCATACTGAGGTTTTCGCATGCCCACCATTTTGCGTCTCATCTGGTGACCCCTTATTCCCCAAGAGCAAAGGCAGCGGCGTCGAAGCTGTCGGAGAGGCCGGTGCCAGTCTTGAAGGTGACCTTCTCCGGCGAGGCCTCTGGGACATACACCTCGACGACGCTGAGCCAGAGCATCAGCTCCTTGGTCTTGACGCCAGTGATCTTGCTCAGCTTGCCGTTCTCGACGAACGCCGTGACCTCGGCGGCATATGACACCGTCTGCTTGATTTTCTTGAAGGTGTGCTCAACCTTCTTCTTTCCCTGCAGCAGCCACATGAACCCCGTCTCACGGTTGTAACCGAACTCCTGGATGTCCTCCATAGGAAGCAGGCCCCTGGGGAGGCTCAGCTCCTCCAGCAGCTCAACGGATTTCTTCCGGCATGCGGCGTCTCCAGTGACGACCACTGCCCCGGCACGATGGATTTCGATGGCCTGGGACGCCATGGTTTACAAATGCAGCTCTGAGTAGCGGCAACAACAAGACTACTTGTAACTGTAGCTGGTTGCTTTTGAGAGTGATGAAGTGCTTGTGTGGTCGTCGGAGATGGAGCAACAGCACATATATAGGCAGGCAGCTTGTGCAGAGAAGCAGCGGAAGACGACGTACGTGCAGTCTTTGTTTGACTTTCTTGGCAAAGGACGTTGAACTTGACATGGACCATTGTGGTGTGCTCTCTATTCTGGCATGCTGAACTCCAGAATTGACCCTTTCTCTTCATGCCCCACTGCAATCAACCAATACTTGTAAGGGCAAATTTTAGCGGGTTCAAGTAAAGACCTTCAATTTATTGTGATTAAGGGGCTGCCACTAGTACAAAAATGTTTTTTTTATAGATGGTCAAAAACAATCTCCAGAGCCGATTAGCAAAACTGTTACTTTGCTATGGATTGTGGAACTTATTTTCAAAGACGGTTTTAAAACCATCCCTACGAAATGATTTTTAGCGATAGTTTTCTTAAACAACCGCTCTTGAAAATCGATTTTCAGAATTGGTTGACTTAAGTCAACCGTCTCCAAAAATATTTTTTAGGCTTTTCTAACAATCATTTAGAAGTCGTAAAAATAAAAAAAAAAAATTAATGTGGTCGGAAGCCAGAAGGACCAACCTCCACTCAAAAGATTTCATTTTCGCTGTCTCACCTCGCATGTTCCATCCCCTACCACCATACCACATAGTCACTTGTGACTGCTTAGGGCCTGTTCGGTATAGCTTAGCTTCACTGGTGAATCAGTTTTTTAAGTTCAGTTCTATAAAGCAGATTCACCCGTAAAGCTAAAGCTATTTTCATAAACATTTGGTAAAATAGGCTGTTTCGCGAAATGATTAGGTTCCTTGTGGTGGAACCTACCCATCCAGGTTCAAGTCCTCGACTTGGCACGGTTGATCGTATTTTTCTGGATTTATTCCAAGATTTCACGGCATTATGTTTTCAGTGGTAGGCGATATTCCCGTAGACAGCGAGACATATGTGGTGACTTCAACAATATCGAGATGTGCCGGCACAGTCTTTCGTAGGTGCTCATAAGGGTAGGGTTTGCGTACGTATGTTTATAGGGGTGAGTGTGAGTGCGTGCTGAGCGTATGTGTCTGTACTTGTGTAATTCGCAACAAAAAAGAACCTGTTTGGTAGAGGAGCTGACAAACAGCTTTGTGAAGCTATTCCATAAGTTCTACCAAACATGCCCTTATATGACAATCCATTTGTACTAAAATATATGAATCTTGTAATTAATATTTTTATTCATAAACAATATTAAATAAAAAAAATTAACTACAAAATTTAAGATCTCGTCCAGCACTACAACTTTGATATGGGACATGTCTCCGTCCAAGGTCGTTTGAAACAAAATAAAAAATTCAAAATTCGAAACCTGTGAACTTAACATATATATATATATATATATATATATATATATGGGCCTCCAAACGATATCGAATAAAATTTTCATCAGTTACAAAGTTTTAGATCTCGAATAAAATTTTCTACAAATTTTGTCTTCATTAGATAGAGTTCATTTGAAAAAGTTATGAATTTGTCTGTGCTACAGCTATTTTTAAGGTGGTTGACTAATTGAACCTCCTTTAAAAATAGATTTCTAGAAACCACCTATTTTCCGAGGCGGTTGACATAAACAACCGTTTAGGAGCGATTCTTTTAAGCCGATCGTCCATAAAAATAAATATATTTTCAGTGATGGTTTACTTAATAGAACTGCTTCTAAAAATACATTTCCAGGGGTGATTGATAAGCTTAGAGTGTTAGAGTGATGGTTTACTTAATAGAACTGCTTCTAAAAATACATTTCCAGGGGTGATTGACAAGCTTAGAGTGTTTCCGGAGCTAGTAACAAACGGTTTGCTGTGTAAACCATCTTTGAAAGAAGTAGTACGAGGCTCTTATATATAAAAATCATTTCTGTACCTGTATGCATGAGCAGAGCTTCACCAACAGGTGGGCAAACGTCACAGTCAGTGGGGTTCAGTCACGGCTGAACCATAAGGCTCTGATTGGAACTACAAGCTGACAATTTATTCCATCTCATGACTGCGAGAAGCAGATTCCGCTTATGGTGCGCACTCTTCCATCCTTGCAGATATAAGCGACAAGGGTGCTCTTACCGACTCTGCCAGGACCAACAATAGGCAGGACCTCCAGTTCTCCAGCACCATAAGAATGTATGTGCAACAGGAAATTGAGGGCATAAGCATTCTATTTCCACCTGACGCCCAAACAAGCAATTATCCAGCAGGAGATGCTTGCTATAAGGCCGGCTGTAAATCATGAAGAGAACCAGTACATCCACATCTTTAATCATGGTGCTCCATACATCAAGCGCCTCTCGTACTTGTCCCAAGCTCTGCATACTTCTACCAGAGAAATTGGGACCCACATGTGCAGAGTTTGCTTTGAACAGAGACACACAGCGACTCACGGTTTGATGTTTGTCATCCTCAACAACGTGAGGCTGGTACTTGAAATCGTCATGCAAATCAAATAAATGACCGGAGGCAAAAAGAAACTCTTTTGGTTTTATATAAGTTATTATAAAAGGACATATCATTTGTTCATTTCTGAAAAGGGAAGAGGGAATACAAAATATGAGTCAAACAAGCAATTATACAGATTTTTTGTTTTAAAATCACAGAGTTCGATCAAGAAAAAAAAACACAGAGTTCATGCAGTATGTTCTTTTAGCACTAAGCATACTGAGGTTTTCGCATGCCCACCATTTTGCGTCTCATCTGGTGACCCCTTATTCCCCCCAAGAGCAAAGGCAGCGGCGTCGAAGCTGTCGGAGAGGCCGGTGCCAGTCTTGAAGGTGACCTTCTCCGGCGAGGCCTCTGGGACATACACCTCGACGACGCTGAGCCAGAGCATCAGCTCCTTGGTCTTGACGCCAGTGATCTTGCTCAGCTTGCCGTTCTCGACGAACGCCGTGACCTCGGCGGCATATGACACCGTCTGCTTGATTTTCTTGAAGGTGTGCTCAACCTTCTTCTTTCCCTGCAGCAGCCACATGAACCCCGTCTCACGGTTGTAACCGAACTCCTGGATGTCCTCCATAGGAAGCAGGCCCCTGGGGAGGCCCAGCTCCTCCAGCAGCTCAACGGATTTCTTCCGGCATGCGGCGTCTCCAGTGACGACCACTGCCCCGGCACGATGGATTTCGATGGCCTGGGACGCCATGGTTTACAAATGCAGCTCTGAGTAGCGGCAACAACAAGACTACTTGTAACTGTAGCTGGTTGCTTTTGAGAGTGATGAAGTGCTTGTGTGGTCGTCGGAGATGGAGCAACAGCACATATATAGGCAGGCAGCTTGTGCAGAGAAGCAGCGGAAGACGACGTACGTGCAGTCTTTGTTTGACTTTCTTGGCAAAGGACGTTGAACTTGACATGGACCATTGTGGTGTGCTCTCTATTCTGGCATGCTGAACTCCAGAATTGACCCTTTCTCTTCATGCCCCACTGCAATCAACCAATACTTGTAAGGGCAAATTTTAGCGGGTTCAAGTAAAGACCTTCAATTTATTGTGATTAAGGGGCTGCCACTGGTAAAAAAATGTCTTTTTTTTAGATGGTCAAAAACAATCTCCAGAGCCGATTAGCAAAACTGTTACTATGCTACCGATTGTGGAACTTATTTTCAAAGACGGTTTTAAAACCATCCCTACAAAATGATTTTTAGTGATGGTTTTCTAAAACAACCGCTCTTAAAAATCAAATTTTAGAATTGGTTGACTTAAGTCAACCGTCTCCAAAAATATTTTTTAGGCTTTTCTAAACATCATTTAGAAGTCGTAAAAATAAGAAAAAAAATAATGTGGCCGTCTCACCTCGCATGTTCCATCCTCTACCACCACTAGTATAGTGACCGTGCTAATGCCACGGCTTTATTTCAGGGATACACATAAAAACAACCACTAGAAGAGAAACGACCTTTGATCCTGCCTCTAAATTTGGCTTTAGTCCCGGTATTTCTTGCGTCCGGGAGTAGAGAGACCTTTAGTCCCGGTTTGTAGCTCAAACCGGGACTAAAGGTCCCTGCCCAACGGCTACTGCGGCAGGCTTTTGCTGTAGGGTACCTTTAGTCCCGGTTGGAGGCCGGGACTAAATGTTAACTTTTACTCCCGGTTGGTACCTCCAATCGGAGTAAAAGTCTACTACCCGGCTGGAGGCTCCGTCCGGGAATAGAAATAGACCTTTAGTCTCGGTTTCTGTCTCCAACCGGGACTACAGTTCCCCTCCTATATAGCCTTTCTTCCTCCCCGAGCCCGAGCCACTTCGAGCTCAGTGTTTTCTTGCTTCTTCGCCGGCCTCTCTTCTTCCTTATCGCCGGTAATCACAAGATTTTCTTTGATTCCTCCATCGATTCTTCGGTTATAAAGGTTACCAACTTTATACTCTTATATTTTATCAGTAGCATATCTCATTTTGTAGACTAGATATATGTGGTTTTTTATGGTGGAATTTGTTTTATTTGTAAGCCATTTAAGCTCAAAATCACTTTAAAGTTTGCATATTTGGGTGAAGGAAGGTTAAAGTAGTTATTCAAAACTAGTAGTAAGCTTTCATTTCTAGCATGCATAACAAACTTCATGGTTTAGAGATATAGATAATTTTAGAGTTTTTTTAATTTTATTTGTTTATAAAATGAGAAATTTATATTATATTAAAAATGAGTATAGAGAGTAGATGACAACTGCTTCTGGGTCCTCGGCCTCTCATCGGGTTCCAAAGCGATTGAGGCCGGACCTCCCTCTTATTGCATGCGGCAAGTGTGAGGAGAAGATTGTGATGGAGTACCGGGTGAGGAAGGAGTGTCCCAACAAAGGCCGTATCTTCTACAAGTGTTCGGATCGCAATGTGAGTTATTTTGTCACATTTGATGATTATGGTTAATTTATACTTATTTTCATGATGATTGTGATTAAAGTTCTAATTTTTTATTTTAATTTCAGTGGGATGGCACTGGATGTTCAGGCTGGTACTAGGAGGAAGAGTATGTTGAACACATGCAAAACTCTCTTGCACAGGTGGCTACACCCAACTTGTGATGCGGGACAGAAAAAGTTGGGTACCACACTAGAATTGCTGCAATGGAAGACAAAGAATGGTGTATCTGACAAGGGATTTGGGGAGTTACTAAAAATCCAAAAGAAGATGTTTTCGAAGGATAATGAATTGCCCGTCACTACGTACAAAGTAAAACAGGTAGTCTGCCCTTTGGGATTAGAAATCTAGAAGATACATGCATGTCCTAATGACCGCATCCTCTACCGTGGTGAGGAGTACGAGAAGTTAGATGCATGCCCGGTATGTCATGCATCGCGGTATAAGATCAGGCGAAATGACCCTAGTGATGTTGAGGGCGAACGTCCCACAAAGAAAATCCCTGCCAAGATTATGTGGTATGCTCCTATAATACCACGCTTGAAACGTCTGTTCAGAAACAAAGACCATGCAAAGTTGTTGCGATGGCACAAAGAAGACCGTAAGGTAGACAATATGTTGAGACACCCTGCTGATGGGTCCCAGTAGAGAGCAATCGATAGAGAATTCCCAGAGTTTGCAAATGACGTAAGAAACATAAGGTTTGCTTTAAGTACGGATGGTATGAATCCTTTCGGGGAGCAGAGCAGTAGTCATAGCACTTGGCCTGTTACTCTATGTATCTACAACTTTTCTCCCTGGTTATGCATGAAGCATAAGTTTATTATGATGCCAGTGCTCATCCAAGGCCCAAGGCAACCTGGCAACAACATCGATGTGTACCTGAGGCCACTAGTTGAAGAACTTCTACTGTTGTGGAACAGACCAGGTGTACATGTGTGGGATGAGCACAAACAGGAGCACTTTGACCTGCGAGCATTGTTGTTCGTAACAATCAATGATTGGCCTGCTCTAAGTAATCTTTCAGGATAATCAAACAAGGGATATAATGCATGCACGCACTGTTTCGGTGACATTAAAGGTATATTCTTGAAAAAATGTCGAAAGGTCGTGTACCTTGGCCATCGTCGATTTCTTCCTGTGAATCACCCCCTAAGAAAGAAAGGCAAGCATTTTAAAGGTAATGCAGACCACCAGACCAAGCCGGGCAACCGAACTAGAGAGGATGTACTCAATATGGTCAAGGATGTGAATGTAGTATTTGGAAAGGCACATGGCAGCGAACCTGTTCCGAACGACGCCAACGGTCATGCGCCCATGTGGAAGAAGTCCATATTTTGGGAGCTACCCTATTGGCAAGTCCTAGAGGTCCGTAGCGCGATCGACGTGATGCACCTGACGAAGAATCTTTGTGTGAACCTGCTAGGCTTCATGGGTGTGTATGGGAAGCCTAAAGACACACTTGAAGCATGACAGGACCTGCGGTGTTTCAAAGAACGAGACAACCTACATCCAGAGAAGACAGATGATGGACGCCATTACTTAAGTCCTGCCAGCTACACTCTTAGCAAAGAAGAGAAGGAAAGCATGTTTGAATGCCTAGCAAGCATCAAGGTACCATCTGGATTCTCCTCGAATATAAAGGGTATAATAAATGTGCCAGAGAAGAAATTCCTAAACTTAAAGTCCCATGACTGCCACATGCTCATGACGGAATTACTTCCAGTTGCATTAAGAGGAATTCTACCTCCAAATGTATGTCTAGCCACCGTGAAGCTATGTGCATTCCTCAATGCAATTTCTCGGAAGGCAATCGATCCAATGGATCTATCTAAACTATAGAATGATGTGGTTCAATGTCTTGTTAGCTTTGAGTTGGTGTTCCCTCCTTCCTTCTTTAATATCATGACACACCTTCTAGTTCACCTGGTCAAGGAGATTAGCATTTTCGGTCCTGTGTTCTTGCACAACATGTTCCCCTTTGAGAGGTTCATGGGAGTCCTAAAGAAATATGTTCACAACCGTGTTCGGCCAGAAGAAAGCATCGCCAAGGGCTACGGAATAGAGGAGGTAATTGAGTTTTGTGTTGACTTTATTCCCGACCTTGACCCAATTGGTGTTCCTGAATCGCGATATGAGGGGAGACTAAGTGGAAAGGAGACACTAGGGAAGAAAATATATATTGGTACGCAGGACAATTATTTTAATAAAGTACACTACACAGTTATGCAAAACTCCTCCTTGGTGGATCCGTATATTGAGACACATAAAGAGTTGCTCCGATCTGAGTTTTTAGGAAAATCTGAAGCTTGGATTACGCGTCAGCACATGGAATCTTTCAGCGACTGGTTGCGAAAAGAATGTCAGGGTGATGAGAGTATTGATGAGCAACTGTATTTGTTGGCTAGACAGCCACCGTGGCATATCCTCACATACAAAGGGTACGAGATAAATGGGAATACATTTTACACAGTAGCCCAAGATAAAAGGAGCACCAACCAAAACAGTGGTGTCCACATAGATGCCACCGACCCTAATGGAAATAAGCCAACATATTATGGCCACATAGAGGAGATATGGGAACTAAACTATGCACCTACTTTTAAGGTACCTTTGTTCAAGTGCCAATGGGTAAAGGCGATTGGAGGCGGGGTAGCAGTCAACAACCAGTATGGAATGACAACCGTGGACCTCAACAATATTGGGTACAAAGACGAACCGTTCATCCTTGCCAAGGATGTGAATCAGGTGTTCTATGTCAAGGACACGTCTACAAAACCGAAGAGAGGGAAAAACAACAATGACCAAATCATTGAGCCAAAGCACCACATAGTTCTTTTAGGGAAAAGAAACATCATCGGAATTGAAGACAAGTCAGACATATCAGAAGATTATGAAAAGGATGACCGAATTCCACCCCTCACAGTGAACAAAGACCCAAGCATCCAACTAAATGATGAGGAGACTCCATGGTTACGGCGCGATCATAACCAAGGGATATACGTTAAGAAGAAGTTCACTACTGTGCCCGCTTGATATATATAGTGATGTATTAGACCTATTATGTAATAATTGTGACTTCATATTTTTTTGTCGTGTTTTCATATTTTTTATACGGTTTAAATGAATTTTCTGCTTGACGGTGGATTTCCCGTGGAGAATGTGTGATGAAAAACAAAATGATCAACGTTAATAAGATGTGAAAACTTATTTCCTGTTGAAAAGTAATAGTTTTAATAATTTTAATCAAGTAGTATATTTTTGCATGGTGCAAATTATAATTATTATTTACAC